TTTACGGCCATACAAGACTGTTCACATGAACACAAGGTTTACTTATCATGGCATTTTGCGGATTGTCCCCAAGATATCCATAATGGGTCCTCACCTGAGCAAATAAGTCATATTCAATGTCATACTGATATATTTTGTTCCTAGAGTTGAAAATCAGTACCTTGCCATCATGCAGAGAAGCAGTCAGCATAAAGCCTATTTTCCACCCATGGGTCCAAAAATACCTCAGAAGCCTCTTATTACTTATAGAGTGTTTCTTCATCCACATTTGCCCTTCATAATCTTGTAAAACCCAAGCATCAATCTTAATCCTATCAAAGTTGAACAAGGCTAATTTTCCTCCCAAATCGAGGAGGCAACAAATCTGCGTGGTAAAATTTGGGGGTTTTATTCTTCGAAACTCCTCTTTCACCACATCCATGGACATGATATGATGCTTTGAAGGATTGAATACACCATTAAAAGGATACATACTGGAATGCCCATCGACCCAGAATAATATTTGACCAATTCTAAATGGATTATATTTGTGATCAATGATCGCACCAGGACGCATAGGCAGAGGAACATCGACTCGCCTCCAAGACTGATTTGGCGATCCAAATGTGATTACCTCACATATGAGCTTACCCGCAAGATCTAGAAGCAAGTGCACCACCTTGTACAACTTGGAAGATGCATCAAAGACAATACTGTAAAGGCAGTCACAATATGGACCTTCCGATCCAGCTAAGGGTTTGGGGAGCATGTGCCATTTCTTTATTGCTGGATTGGCTACAACAATGCCTTCAGTGCTAGAATCAATAATGCGCAAGAGGAGAAGGCCATTTGATGAGGACAAGAACAATATATTTATTTGTTATTTTCAGTTTAGTAGTTAATTCAGTTTAGATTTGAATTTCAATTCAGGTTGAGATTAGGTAGGTAGTTAGTTGATATTTGATTTTTTTGAGAGATTTGAAAATCTGTAATTTCTCTTCTATTTAAGGCATTGATGTAATCAGAATGATTCAATAATGAATTGAATGAAATGAAATTTGTGTTGGCTGAAACCATGGGTGTGAAACCCTAACCCTACTTTTTTTTTTTTTCTTTTCGTCAACCACGAACTCGAGCGCCTGCTGTCCCTCACCAAACCAACCACTCGTCCTCCCCTGCAACCGCACCCAACCCACTCCACCGCCCTCTTCTTCTACCTCAGATCCGCCGCCACCTTCACCTTCCCCGCTGCCCGTTTGGCCCAGTCATCGATCCGCGTCCTTCTCCTCTCCATTATAACGAACGAAAGGGAAAGCTCTGGGATCTGATTTGATTTGTTCAGACCCTCCCTAAGACCAAAGGAGAACAGAGATCATTAATGGTTGTTGATAAGTTGGGATATGGGCTCCACTGTAGTTAATAGGTCTTGGATTTCTCTCAACATTTTTTGGATAACAGTGGATTGGATATTGAACCGGTTTTGGAGCTTGGGGATTGCTTGTCTGATCTTTTGCAACAACGTGGCACTCAAGATCAACCTCCAGAGCTATAGTGGAGATGATGTTGAATTGGAATTTTGGTGATTATCAGAGTAACAGTCCTTGGGTGAGATTGTATTTTGTTTTCCTGATTATTTTCTGTTAGTCTCATAATTATCAGTTAATTGCATGCGTATTAAATCTCTAAACTCTTATCATATATTCACTGCTTAAATTATTTTGTGAGTTGAGATTACTGAACATGTGACTGCTAAATTTTGATATTGATCTTAGAACTTGCGAAAATGATAATTGATATTGCGATTAAATTGTTTGAGATTGGAATTATTTATGAATATCGTTAAAATCTTATTAAAATCCATCTGTCACGTTAACTGTTTTAATTAATTTCCTATCGAATATCATTATTTTTGGCGAAACGGTGCGTTGTTCAAATTAAATCGTTGATTCCGATAGATCCCCTCCCCGTTTTACATCATTTTTGGTATCAGAGCATGGTTCTAGGGTAGGAATTTTTTTTTTATTTTTTTTATTAGTTGAGTCTTTTATTTGATATTAAAAAAAAACTCATTCATCTCATTTAGCTGTTTGTGCACACCATTCATCTCATCTAATTGTTAGTGCATGCCCACTCGCATAGATCTACCCTGATTAGGAGAGTCTAGTGAATCATCTAGTGAGTCCAGCCTGTCAGGTAACACAGATCCCGAACTCCTTAAGAAATTCGCTGAACTAGCAGCACAAATTGATGAAACCTACGAAGATTAGTGAGGCTAAAAAAAATGTGGATTACAACTCCGCCGCCACAAGGTCAAGGCTATGAATACCCACCGCAAGATCATGGATACATAGTTCATCGACCCCCACCGCAACCCGTGCCTGATCCACCAACCTTTGATGGTAGGCTCGACCCAGCACTTTCTTTGACTGGCTGAAGAGCATGGATCTCTACTTCGATTGGTACGCCCTGACAGAATCCCAAAAAGTCAAGTTTGTCACGATGAAGCTCACCGGACCCGCTTGCCAATATTGGTCCAACTTCGAAATGATAAGGCATATTAGAGGTGAGTTACCAATTTTTACTTGGCGAGAAATGGCCGACGAACTGAAACGAAAATATCTCCCGCCATCGTTTATTTATAGATTGCTAGATAAGTGGTATTGTCTTACTCAGGGAACCAAATCTGCAAAAGAGTATGTTGCTCAATTTGATGAATTGTTTACTCGATGCAGCACCATTGAACCAGAGGCACCGATAAAAGTATTATCAAAATTTAGAGATGGATTAAGAAGCGACCTCCAAACCGAACTCTTTGCTAGAGGAGTAAACACCCTTGAGAGAGCTTACGCCTTAGTTCAAGAGTTAGATGAAGCCAAATTACACCAATCTCATAGGGCTCAGAATTTTCAGACTCATTCCTCCCAGTTTTCCTGTGCCAATACCTCTAGTCAGTCTCTGAGTCGATCTAACCCTAGTTCTTCCCAATCTAGAGTTGATCCCAAAGGCCAGAAGTCAAAGAGATCTCTCTCTAAACTTAGCCCAATAAGTCAGTGTTATAATTGTCAAGGATATGGGCACGTTGCTTCTGTCTGTACAACTCCGTTCAGAGTTAGAATTAATAAGCCGCCTGTAACGAAATCAAAATCTATTATTGAGGAAACCGTTAACCAGGCCGTAGATTTGACAGAATCTAACTCTGACAATAAAATCCAGGGTAGTATATTCAAAGAACCATGCACTTCCATTCCTTCTGAAACTACCCCTGCCATTGTGGAGTTGATTGAATTTTCATGCAATGACAACACTCCGACTATTCCCCAAGCTACCCCTTTGATCACGGAGTCCACTGGTGTTATCCCTACAACACTCCGACTATTCCCCAAGCTACCCCTTTGATCACGGAGTCCACTGGTGTTATCCCTGAAGTTGCTCTTGAAATTGAAACTCTAACTCCTCCTGAACCAACTCCAATGATTGAAAACGTTGTTGATATTTCCCACGAAGTCCTCCCAGACAAACATGACACCCAACACGTTCCTGATTTAGTTCATGATTCGGTTCACTCGGATATCTGTATGGAAGTTAAAATCCAAACTGAGCATAGTGAAACAACTACCATATTAGATATCACATCCCCATGCATTGTCCCGATAGTCACCATTTATGGCTAGACTCCAGCTCGTAGCTCAGCCTCTAGACACCCCTTTATCTGTTTCCACCCTTTTAGGAGAGGTATCGTTTCTGAAGAGCGTTTGTAGGAGGTGTACCGTCAGTTTAGACGAGTCGGAGTTCATAGTCGATTTGATAGTGTTGCATATGTCCGAGTTCGATGTCATCCTTGGTATGGATTGGCTGTCTTCCTACCATGTTAGCATTGACTGCTTTGCGAAGACAGTCAAGTTGCGAGCGACCGACGGGTCCGAGATGATTGTAGCCGCCTCAGAGTCATTTCTGGCGTACATCGAGGAGGTGCTGCGATGGGATCAGGGGGCTGAGTTATTGGAGACTAGAGTTGTCTCAGAGTATCAGGATGTCTTTCAGGACATACCTGGATTACCTCCGGTGAGAGAGGTGGAGTTTTGTATTGAGTTGTAACCAGGTACAGCCCCGATATCCCGCGCACCTTATCGTATGGCACCAGCTGAGATGAGGGAGCTTCAGACCCAGTTGGACGAGTTATTAGCTCAGGGCTTTATTCGTCGGAGTCATTCTCCGTGGGGCGCGCCGGTCCCCTTCGTGAAAAAGGATGGTAGTATGAGATTATGCATAGATTATAGAGAGTTGAACAAGGTCACTATCCGGAATAGGTACGATGGTTTGGACTTGTCCAAAACAGTTTCTTTATAGCTGTTTAAGATTTGACATGATATTTATGAGCTTTGCCAACTCTTAAAATAATTAATAGCAACATTTATATTATCGATTTGGTCATAGTTCTATTCTTAATATTGAGTGATTAAACAGTTCACAATGTTATTGACAGTCTACTGATATAAGCCTGACCCTAGCTATTATTTCTGAGAGTTGTTTCACTTTACCCCACTTCTATATATTCACCCATGCAGCAGTGAATTTTGATAATATTTTAGATGGTGAATTTATAATGCAATTTAACTAATGATTTGAGATACAGGAAAGTATATGATGACAGATTAAGATGCAGGCAGACTCTATTGAAGATGACAAGCTTCTGCAGCTAACTCAACGGAGTCGAGTTTTCTCCCACCCGGGGAGAATGATGAGGACAAGAACAATATATTTATTTGTTATTTTTAGTTTAGTAGTTAATTCAGTTTAGATTTGAATTTCAATTCAGGTTGAGATTAGGTAGGTAGGTAGTTGATATTTGATTTTTTTGAGAGATTTGAAAATCTGTAATTTCTCTTCTATTTAAGGCATTGATATAATCAGAATGATTCAATAATGAATTGAATGAAATGAAATTTGTGTTGGCTGAAACCATGGGTGTGAAACCCTAAGCCTACTCTTGTTTTTTTCTTTTCGTCAACCGTCCAACGCCACCTCCTCCCCTACAACTGCACCCAACGCCGACCAACCGTCGCTCGATTCCCCTCTGACCACCTCCCATCCCTTCGTCATCAAACCCATCTCCAGATCCGCCCTCCCTTCCTCCTTAGCCGGCGACGAACTCGAGCGCCTGCTGTCCCTCACCAAACCAACCACTCGTCCTCCCCTGCAACCGCACCCAACCCACTCCACCGCCCTCTTCTTCTACCTCAGATCCGCCGCCACCTTCACCTTCCCCGCTGCCCGTTTGGCCCAGTCATCGATCCGCGTCCTTCTCCTCTCCATTATAACGAACGAAAGGGAAAGCTCTGGGATCTGATTTGATTTGTTCAGACCCTCCCTAAGACCAAAGGAGAACAGAGATCATTAATGGTTGTTGATAAGTTGGGATATGGGCTCCACTGTAGTTAATGGGTCTTGGATTTCTCTCAACATTTTTTGGATAACAGTGGATTGGATATTGAACCGGTTTTGGAGCTTGGGGATTGCTTGCCTGATCTTTTGCAACAACGTGGCACTCAAGATCAACCTCCAGAGCTATAGTGGAGATGATGTTGAATTGGAATTTTGGTGATTATCAGAGTAACAGTCCTTGGGTGAGATTGTGTTTTGTTTTCCAGATTATTTTCTGTTAGTCTCATAATTATTAGTTAATTGCATGCGTATTAAATCTCTAAACTCTTATCATATATTCACTGCTTAAATTATTTTGTGAGTTGAGAGTACTGAACATGTGACTGCTAAATTTTGATATTGATCTTAGAACTTGCGAAAATGATAATTGATATTGCGATTAAATTGTTTGAGATTGGAATTATTTATGAATATCGTTAAAATCTTATTAAAATCCATCTGTCACGTTAACTGTTTTAATTAATTTCCTATCGAATATCATTATTTTTGGCGAAACGGTGCGTTGTTCAAATTAAATCGCTGATTCCGATAGATCCCCTCCCCGTTTTACATCACCATTGCAGGAGGCAAGAATCATACAACCATGGGGGACTCCCAACTTAAAGTTTTCGAGACAAGTGAGGCGGTTACGGCTACCACGATTGATTTGCAGAGAGAGGAATTTTGGTTCGGGGTAGCGGTTGAAGACAAAGAAAAGAAGGTGGGCAAAAGCGAGAGAAGCTTGGGTTTGGGCAAAGTGAGGATTATCAATGAGTTGGAGAGAAGCGCGGCTAAGAGAGCGCAGAAGTAGAAGGAATTGGGCAGGGAGATGACTGAAGATTCCAAAAAAGATTACCTCTTGTGGAAGGATGGGGAGAGCGGCGGTTGTCTTCTTCAGCGAACTCCTTTTCTTCCTCTCAATGTCATTCCCTTTCACGGATTTCTCTTTAGGAATTCTGTTGGTCATTTTTTCCCCTCGAGAATGGTAACCCTAAAGTAGAGATTTAGAGGAAAGAGACGGAACAGAACCTTGGATTCCTTCTGTCCTTTTGTAGACATGTGAGGTGAAGCGGCGTTACAAAAGATGCAGTGAACATCAATTCAAAAAAGCTTCAGCCAAATTGCTATAGGGAGGTGAAGCGGCGTTACAAAAGATGCAGTGAACATCAATTCAAAAAAGCTTCAGCCAAATTGCTATAGGATATGTAGCGAACAGCTGTCCATTGTCTAGAGATCCTCGGCAAAATCGTCAAGACTTTTCGGATAGGCTACGAGAATCTAAACCACAATATTAAAAGGAAGGGGGAAAATGCCAAAAGAAGAAGGTTTACCTTTTTAGGTTCTGGAGTTGCAAGGAATTGTTTCCCTGTTCTCTCTACGAACTAGTCTATTGCTGTGAATTGCCCACTATACCTTATGTGGCTTTTGATCACATATGCATATTCAAACTTCTCGATCTTAAAGACTGCTGGTAAAAAATGTATTGTGATGACAACACTGTCGATGCTTTATTTAGTTAGGACATCATGATATAAAGCTCATAATCAATTTTGATATGCGGTTCACTCTTGCAAATTGATGTCTTGATGCATCAATCCACACAATCACATTGATTTAATGTTAGCCCCTAACAAAATTTGATAGGTGACAATTTACTAGACATAGGGCTTGCTCTTATAAAGCCCCTTTGAAGGACTAATTTTCAGCTTCCAAATTTGCTCTAAAGGGACACAAATGGTGAGTCACACACATTCTTAGGGATTAGTATCAAATATCAAGTTTATTATGGAAAAACTGTCGGCACCAAGCAAATCATTAACAAATTACGTCCTAAAATTCACATTATCATGCACTTGTATCAGTTTATTAAATTCTGAAGAACTAGTATCAAATATCAAGTTTATTATAGGAAAAATGTTTATAAGGTAACACCTTAGATTCAATCTAAGCTAGCGCCTTCAAAACTACATTATGTGCTATCAAATTACTCCATCCATTCCGTTCATTTTGATTTATGTGTTTTGGATTGTATACAAATAAAAAATTAGGCATATTGGGTTGTAGTTAATCATGCATCAAGTGATTATGAAATTAACGGCTTTACAACAACATAACTAAAAGATACAATGAAAAATATGTGCTAGAAGTATTTAATCATCATGATTTTTATTTTATAGATGTTTTGAGACATTTAGATCACAATGAGTAGAGTGGATCATCAATGAGAATAGCCTAATTCATGAATCAAGAAGCACTACCTTAGATTGAATCTAAGGTGCCACCTTATGAACAATTTTCCCATATTTAAACTTGTTAGGATGTTAAATATCCTTTCAGTTATGGTAATTTTATGTTTTATTCACTCTCACAAGTTAGTATGCTCTATAACTTCCTAATGTTACAGTGCTGCTTTGAGGAACATGGTCCTTTTCGAAAGAGGGATATGTGCCAACTAGAACTGATAAGCACCACCTAGTATTTAGAGCTTAAGCCCCCACCCCCTCTCTTCACACAAAGACAAAGACCAAATAAACCAACTGATGAGAAAAAGTTTGATATCTAAACTCCTAAAATGATAAATGTTTTCAGACTATATAGTTACAACTTGCGTAATAATTGATCCCTCCTCCCTCTAGCAAACTACATCCTAAAAATTCACATTGTGAGGACTTTTGTCGAACTATTTATTTCTGAATGACTAACATCAAAACTTGTTAGGATATTAAATATGTTTTCAGTTGTAGTAAATTTATGCTTTACTCACTCTTTACAAATTAGTATACTCTATAAATTCCTAATGTTACATCGCTGCTTCAAGGAATAAGGACACAATTACCTGCGACTCCATAACCTAAATGTTTTTTTTATCATGAACAATATACCTTCATCCTCTTTTGGCATCTTTTCTCCTTCCTCCTGTGGTTTAGATTCTTGTCATCTTTTCTCCGTTGTTCACTGCACCGTCTGTAACACCACTTCGTATCACATGTTTACAAAAAGATGGGAGGAGATTAAGGTTCCCTTCCATCTCTTTCCTAGAAAACTCCCCATCTAAGATTATCATTCACTAGGTTACCACTCAAAAAAATGGTGAAGAGAATTCTTAAAGAGAAACCCGTGAAAGGAATGGCATCGAGAAGAAAAGAAAAGTTCATGGAAGAAGACTAACCCCCACCCCCCACACACACACACACAAACCAACCAAAGGTCAAAAGAGGTACAAAAAGATGATAAAAAGATTGCAAAATAATATTTAGTATTAGAGGAAAATCTAAAATTACACCCTCCCTCCCTCTCATTCAAACACACACTCACATCAAACCATTATCGAAAAATGAGATTAATATTGCAGAGGTAAATTCACATGATGGTAAATTCTAGGACTTTGAAGTTCGAGCTAAAATAATATTTGATCCACTTTCTCATTTCTCTCTTAGACACGCAAAGATCACAATAATTGCGATAAGATGGAAAAAAGACTGCATTACAAAATTTCCACGATGGTAAATATTTAGAATTTCTTATACATACACTCTCACATACACACAAAGAACAGAGAGTTATAGAAAGATCGAAAAAAGATTGAATCGCTAAATTAAAATCTCTCACATACACACAAAGAACAGAGAGTTATAGAAAGATCGAAAAAAGATTGAATCGCTAAATTAAAAAGATTGTTTTTTTCAAACTTTGTAAACAGTTATAGAAAGATCGAAAAAAGATTGAATCGCTAAATTAAAAAGATTGTTTTTTTCAAACTTTGTAAACACTGTAAAACAGTTGAATATACATCCTATTATCAAGTTTCTGTGAAAAATCATAAGTTACTTACAACCAACAAAAAATTTTGTAACCAGGAAATAATTTTAAACTAATATGGGGCTAGGTAGCTTCTTCAAAGTTAAACAAGAATGAAAAGGCTTAGTTATCGGTAATTAAACATGTCATCATTATACTGGCAAGCCCCAAATATGATAACTACCAACACAATATGCACTCTCTAAAGCTCTAACCAGCCATACCAGCAGCCATTGATGATGAATCCAGCTTCGCCTTTTTCTCAAGAACTGAGGAGAGTGCACTGTCTATTTCAGCAAAAACATCTTCCCTAGGAGCATTTCCATTGACCTGAAAGTGAAAAAAATATAAATGTAAGGTTGAATAATTCATCAACCATAAAGTAATGTTTGAAACAATTTATTTTAGGTTATAAAAAATGTAAAATATTTATTTTAGGTTAAAAAAATGTAAAATATTCAGCCATAAAGTAATGTTTGAATTATGGAGAGGTTGCACACTGCAAAGAGAAGAAAACCCTTTTCAAAATCCAAATATGAGAATTTTAGGTTACAAAAAAATTTATTTTTGTGCAAAGCAAAACAATTTATTTTAGGTTACAAAAAAAATATAAAATATTCAGCCATAAAGTAATGTTTGAACTATGAAGAGGTTGCGCACTGCAAAGAGAATAAAACCCTTGTTCAAATCCAAATATGATAATTTTAGGTTACAAAAAAAATTCTGTGCAAAGCAAAACAATTTATTTTAGGTTAAAAAAATGTAAAATATTCAGCCATAAAGTAATGTTTGAACTATGGAGAGGTTGCACACTGCAAAGAGAAGAAAACCCTTGCCAAAATCCAAATATGAGAATTTTAGGCATTACTTTTAATTCAATTGAGCTAAGTATGATTTTCTGAGTTATTTGAATATTATACTTCTATCTTTACTTTCTATATACATAAAGGTATATGTAACCAATATATTTCAAACTTGGATTGAATACAACTGATACTGCATTTATCTATCTTCTCTTCAAACTTCTTCAAACTCTATCCCAGTCTTTTTCCTACTATAACCCTTTCTTCTCCTCTACTACAAATTTCTTGCTTTGTTTATACTTTAAATTGGTGCTCTAGCAATTAGATTTAGCATATAGGGTCGGTTTGAATTTTGTGTGAAAATCAAATAGTAATTGCCTAATTGATCATTAGTTAGGTCAGTTTAATATAACAATTCAGGTCAGATCAGGTGCTATCCCAGTTGAGGACAATCAGTGTGAAATCGGTTCTCCAGCATGGTCAAGAATCAGGCTCTCCACGACTTGGTAGAATCACTAAACAGCCAGTCTAAATTATGTGAAATATAAGGGTTTTAACAAAACTCTCCACGACTTGGTAGAATCACTAAACAGCCAGTCTAAATTATGTGAAATATAAGGGTTTTAACAAAATGGACTTTATTTCAGTGGATGAATAGTACAGCCAGTCTAAATTATGTGAAATATAAGGGTTTTAACAAAATGGACTTTATTTCAGTGGATGAATAGTAAAATTAAAAAGTATTTGGTATTCAGATAACATAAAAACAATTGGTTTGGTTTATTTCAGATGCATGTGGTACCTTTTGCCATGTTAATATATAAAGAGAGGCTCAATTCCACTAATAGCTAAAAGGAAAAAACACATGAAAGCACTCAATGCTCACCCAGAACTGGAAGCCACATTGGCCCCACAAGGACCACATGAGCAATGGAGGAAACACTAGCAACTACTGGCTCTATGTACTATAATTTGAAATGGCATAGGCATTATTGCAGTAAGTGACATGGATGTTGATATCACAGTTAAAGCCAACATACTCACCCAACATATCTGAGAAATCCTGAAGTAAAAATGAAGTCTGACCTGATGTGGTAATGTGCAAACGGAAGGAACGCTGAAATGGCCAGTTATGAGGCTATTGGTCTGGAAATAGGAACAACTTAAGAAGAGGGGGAAAAGAAGAGTGAAGATGCAGGGACAGCAAGAAAACTAGTCCTCATCCATGCCATACTCGAATCATTTTCATTGATTGATTTATTTCATATATTGTGGTCTTTAAGTAGGCTTTACAATAAAGGATTAAGATATTGGTCTGTAAATAGGAAACTGCAACTTAAGAAGATGAAGAAGAAAAGAAGAGTGAAGATGCAGAGGAAAACAAGAAAACCTGGCCTCAGCTTTGACATACTCACTTAAATCATTTTCATTTAATGATTTATTTCATATATTGTGGTTTTTAAGTAGGCTTGTTTACAATAAGCGATAAAGACAGGATACAACAACTGACTCGAACAAAACTAATTAGTGCATATATTAACATATGATTTTCAACTAGTCCGGTTGTGTGTAGCAGGTTGTACGATATGCAATAAGTACTCCCCCAAAGCCCTGCCCTTTCTGCAGTGAATTCCGTCTTTCTTCATTAGTAAAAATTTAATAAAACTCCAAGACCCAAAAGGATGAACATAAAGTAAAAGAAAATTGTATCTAGCACAGTTTCTAGTACAGGGCAATAAATAGTCTAGATATGCTAACAATCAACAGAAAATCATAAAACAGTGGATCATTGTAAGTGAACAAAAACTAATCAAAGTAACTAGAAATGATTCTTCTGCCATCTTCTGGATGAAGTTTATAGGTAATTCCTCCAAACCACACTTTTGCAGCTTCTTCTCTTAAGATAAATTCGTT